ATTATTCCACGACCCAAACAATGATCACCATCTTCATGATTGGATAACCGCACCCCAAAATTACACTCGTTGTCATAAATCATTTCGAATCGTTTCCGCATTTCCTAATACGCTTTTTAAACGGTCGGATAAATTACCACCAACTTTGTTTATAATTTCCGTTGGCATTTCCATAATTTCCGCCACCATATCCACCTCCATAATTTCCGCCACCGTAGCCTCCGCCGCTGTAAAAACCAGGCCTAATTCAAAAAAAAAAAAAAAAAAAATGAATTTAAAAACGATAGAGATAATATCGTATATTTTAAGAGTACTTACTCGCTGCCACCTCCATAACCTCCTCTTTCACTACTACTACCGCCAAATTTACGGTAATCGCGATTTCCACCTCGGCTTCCACGACCGTTACCGCGACTACTGCGACCTCCAAAGCCTTGAGTTTCTTTCGCTACAGTTTCTAACCAGCCAGGAATTATTTGATTGGCTTCTTTCAATAAGTCAATGAGTTCACGAACTATGCCTTTGTTGCCACGATTGAAAAATGCCGTTGACAAACCAACATTACCAGCACGACCAGTTCGACCAATTCGATGTACATAGTCGTCGATATCTGTCGGTAAATCATAATTGATTACGTGTGTAACATTAGGAATGTCAAGACCACGAGCAGCTACAGCAGTTGCTACCATTATAGGAGTACGACCTGTTCTAAATGAATCAAGTGCACGTTCACGTTCACGTTGCGATCGGTCGCCATGAATAGATGTAGCAGGAAAGTTGGATTGAATAAGGAATTCTGATAACATATCTGCCATACGTTTAGTTTCTACAAATATTAATGTAAGCCCACGATCTGTATCTGGTTGAGAATGTAGAATATCTAATAGTACAGATCGTTTGTCTTCATCTTCAACGTATTCAATCTTTTGGGTAATGTTCTCGCTTGTACTGCCAACACGACCAACGCTCAAGAAAACATAGTCCTTTAAAAAATCCCGAGCAAGAATTTGAATGTCTCGGGGGAATGTAGCACTAAACATAAGCGTTTGACGATCACCAACACCAGGCATATCTAAATTTTCGAATATATGGTAAA